CCGGGCAGGGGCTCTGCTGCGGCCTGGCCGGCGGGAAGTTTCCCTTTCCCCTCATCCCTGCTTTCCCCCGAGGGTGGGCGTGGCTTGTCTGTCCAGCGGGATTCTTTGTGCTGTAAAATCCCATGTGGCAGAAGGAGAATAAAGAGGTCCTGGTCACAGGTCTTTTAAACTTGCCTTTACTTCTTCCTTTGTCAGGTGGCTTTAAAAAGGACCAGTTACAGCCCGCTCAGCCTAGCCTAAGGTATTTGTGCTTCTGGTTTCAGACTTCTGTTGCACTGAAGAAAAAATGAATGTATGTTGTATTTGTGCTACTTATAGTTAATGGCCTGTGATACTTCCTACTGGAAGGGCCTGTCCTGGTTTTGGAATTAGTCCAACCATAATCTGAAATGATGCTTAAATCTGAAAAAGCTAATAGCTTTTTTAAGTACATTTCTCATCCCTCTAGCAGTGGGGGAATATAGAAGTTGAAAACTTACCGCTGCTGTCAGTTACAGCATTAGTTCCAAGTGTCAGAAATCTCCCAACTCTGCAAGTGTCCCATGAAGGAATTAGTACAGTTACATATTAAAGAAAAAATTCTTTTCCTTCAAAAAACGTTGCAATTGCAATGGCAAGCATTCGTCAGCTGGAAAGCAACACCTGAATTAGGAGCCTTGCAGTGGTGGTGATGGTGTCCTAAGTTTGCAGCATTTCTGTAGGCTCAGTTTTGAAGGCTGTCCACCAGGCAACTTAATAAAATTATCTCTCCTGGGACAGGTTTTGCATGAATTATGGCGACATACACCGGAGCTACATGCAAGAGAAGGGATGTCCTGACACAGTTTATTTGCTTTTGTAGGCTATTTCAATGAGAAAAATTATCCAATTACTAACTAACTGCGACGGAGATGGCAAAATAATGTTTAGCTCTCTCTTGGGAACTGAACTGTTACTACTGAGCTGTTTTCCATCTTTCTTAGCAGTCCTCCCATCAAGTATGAATTGATTACTAGAGGGTAGGGATTTTACAGTCCCTTATCTCCTGTTTGGGTGAGAGCACCAGACGTTATTGGCATTGAAAGAGATTATCATTATTCTTATTTTAAATAGGCGTGAGGTGAACGGTCACGATGAGGATGGAAATGAGCTACAGACGACACCAGAGTTCAGAGCCCATGTTGCGAAGAAACTGGGAGCAATGCTAGACAGGTACTGGCAAGCAATACTAAAGAAGTTTGTTCCGTGGGTCAAGTACACGGATGCTTTTGTGTGCTAAAACCGGGAAGTTCAAGATCTGAGTGCAACCTGGATATAGGGGAGAAGTTGTTTCTCTTTTGTCGCCTTCATTGCTGTATGTAATGCAAACTTCCAATATTGTGTGAACTAACCTGCCCCATGTGCTGTGCCCTTCTGGTTAAGACTCCCTGTGCATTTGCCTCTATCGTGAATGGGTTATGGGGAGGAAAAAGTAAAATTTGGGCGTCTTAGCGCTTTCATCATTTAAAGGCCAGCATGAGAATCTTTCATTTATGCTTGCAACCTAAACCAATACCTGAGTCAGGGTTGTGCTGGCAGTATGCCTCTGACAGGGCTGCCACTCTATTTGTTGTGTAAATATGGCCCTGGAGAACTAGAATTCCTGGTGTTTAGAGCTGGCTTTAGAAACACTGCTTTTAAGTCATTCTTGCGGCGTGCTTTGCTGAGGAGAGCAGGCATGGTCTGCTCTGAAAGCTGAGAGCGCTTCGCTAAGAAAAGAGTTAGAAGCTATGTAACATTTCCCTATAGTCTTGTTTCCTAGAAATACCCAACTTTAGCTCAGTTTGCGTAAACCTGTATTAAGATCTGACTGGGGTTTTCTGTTTAGTTTCATCACTGTCCTGAAGGACTCGTCAGGACCTTCACAAACCTCTGTGCAACAGTCTGACCCTGCGGATGATGGTGAGCTCTAGTCACGGCCGTTGTGGCTGTTTGCGACACTGTTAGTTAAATGATGACAAGTGGGATGGATCCCACTTGCACACCCAACTGACTAATAACCATTTGCAACAGAAGAATTTCTGTTAGCGTCCGTGAAGGCTGTTACTTTGAAGCTGTGATCTCTGTGCCCCAATTCCTCTCAGACCGTCCCAAATAATGGCTGTCAGCAATTTTATAGCAATGCAGTAACAGCAGCGAGGCTTCCCAGGGAGGTTGCTGTTGATTGCTTTCACCTCTGTTTTATATTGTGGCTAAAATTCCCTTTTCCATATTTTAGGTTTTCGCCTCTTCTCTTCCTCTGTCCCAGGAGACTCTGGGAAATCGGAGCCTTGCCCTGCAGCAAGGAGGAGACAGCCATCTAGCTCCAGGTGAGGTGCTGTCAGCTGCTTCGCTCCTGAAGTACTATTGCATCCCACATTTCAGAGGCAGCTGGGACTCCCGCAAGGGAATAGGAAGCTGAAGAGCTTGAGAAGTGTCTATTTATGACTCCTGTATTTGACTAGAGCAGATTTTTTTTGTTTCTTTTCTTAGTGCCAGGAAACTGGAAATGTTTGTGGCAGATGTTCTTTCCCTTCCTAGTATGTGTAAAGAACACCTCAGCCTTCAAACTGGTTAAATGCTAACTTGTATTGGAGTCCCAGAGCTGCTGGGAGTTTATCAGGTGTTCTCATCTTAGATTACTCTGCTGTTTGTGCTTTGGGTGAATTCAAGGCAAAAGCGTAACGTAACTTCCTTTCCTTTTGTTGTCATTCCAGTGACATGGATAGTGACCAAGAGTGGCAAAGATACCAGGAGGCTGCTGTGTCAGCCACAGACATTCTGAAGCAAAGTGCTTTTCCTGCACTGTCTCAGGATTCCAGCCGGGATCAGAGTCAGGGTTATGTAGAGCACAGCCAGAAAAAAAAGAAGAAAAAGAAAATCAGGAGAGAGAACAATATTCAAGAGAAAATAATAGACTCGGCAGAGTGTGACCAGATCAGCAAAGATTTGCCACGGTTGGTGTCTGCAAATGCACAACGTGAGAGACAGGACAGCAATCATACAGAGAGCTCGGTGTTGCCAGGAGTTGTGAAGAAGAAAAAGAAGAAGAAAAAAAGAGAATGAAGATTTTGCTCTGCAAGCGGCAGGTGATGATGATGGATGAACGATGCTGGGGAAAAAAAAAAAAACTAACAAAAAGATTTGCTGCAGATGAGGGAAAATTAATTGGCAAAGCTTCTGTTCCAAAAGCTCAGTGGCCTGAGAGTCTAATTAAGTGACTTCTTATGTTGCTGGCATCCCTTGGGGAAGGGAACGTTGTTCTCCTAGCACAGCAGTTATCTATGCCGCTGCTTATGCAGACCTAGCGTAAAAGGATTGAATACTGTGCACAGACCTGCGTGACAGAGGGATATAATCATAGCTGCATCCCTCCTGGTCTGTTCCTTCACATCATGAAACCAAACCTTGTGTCCTGGAGAAAGTCTATGATGAATTGAATTTGGTTTACATGGCAACAGGTGATCAACTCCTTTTTCTCTTTGCCTCCTCCTAGATGCCTACTAAGAATAACTCCAGCCTGTGGGAGACTCACTTATCAAAAGCATCCTGTCAGATATCAGGGCCCCCTTAAGATGATCACAGGAAAAAAAAAATACCAATCTGTTGTTGCAACCTGCCATGTTGCTAATCCCTCTGTAATCTGCACCTCTCCAGGGCCCCTGCACATAAACAGAGCGTGCAGTGAGCTTATTTCAGGGTTGTTATGAATAGGTGGTTCTGTTCAAGTTGTGTCCTTCGAATTTTTTTTCATGTATAGTTTTTTTTATGGTGTTTGTTGTTATTAAAATCTACTGCGCTATTAGTCTTATTGAATTTGGCAGGGTTTGTACAACAGTGGCTTTCTTGCTGTATTCAGATGGCTCCCCCAGCAGAGCTGAAGATGGCTCTTTAGGTGCTTGGTGATCAATGCTCTGAGATTGCTACAGGAAGGACTTAAGCCTAACTTTCGGTCCTTGTTTTGGTTGATGATGACTTTTGTCTCTCTGAAATACAGTGGGTTTTGGTAGTTTTCAGTATGGCTCTTAGTCTGTTTATACTTCAGCTCCAGTATTTCAGGAGATGACTTGTTATTGGATAAATACTCTTCTTCTGTTTTTAAGATTTTTGGGTTTCAGTAGCTCTAACTCATTTGCCCTGTTCAGGAGACCAGAAAGCCAGACTAGAGAAACAGAAATAGTGAACTATTGCTCTTTGAGTGTGGGAAAACCCAAGATGTTTTCTTTCTTACTGTAAGATCCTTGCTGTTTTTTAATCAAGAAAACACAGTTGGCATCCAAAAATGGAAAGGCTAAGTAGAAAATTGGCTTGTAATCTAGCTGAATGTGCCAGCAGAAGTCACGTCTCTTATGGCCAGTTAAAAAGTTCAGTATACTGAAGCTAGCACCTGGGGTTTCAAATGCATAGTGGTCTAAAAAATACCTTTTGACTTGTTTTATGATGATTATTTTTATGCTAACTGGAAATTATGTGTATTTGCAAATGAGGCACAGGGATGATTAGGAAACAATTCTAGGATAAAATTCCTCAGAGAATCTAGTTACTGAAATTAATCTCTGATGGTTGGTAGTATCTAGAGGAAGATCATATCAATACAAACTGTAATGGACATCTGCAATTTTGAAATTTCCAGATATGGTAACTGAAGAGATCACTGTTGGGCTTTTTCTTTTTTAATTCTCCCTTCGTTATAGCTCAACCTTTTAAGAATCTTGAGCACTTTCTAATCTCAAGGATTTTCATCCATTTCACAGGTGAAAGAATAGCTCTGTTACAGTCACAATGACAAAAACATGTTAATTAGGGCTTTTTTCATGGCTGGCTAGTGACGTATCAGTGATGCGAAGGTTGAGAGTAAATAGAGAAGAGAGGAATAATTAGAAGAGGAATTATATAAGTAGATCCTTAGGGCTAAAAGCCTTCACTTAGTGCAAGTAAGACTCTTGGACCCCAGGGTAATTATTTGCATATCAAGAACTACAGAATCTAGCCTACAGGGAAGCTAAGAATGAACCGTGTTCTGTAAAATGAATCCAGGCTGACATCTTTATAGAGAACAACTGAAGGAACCGCTGCTGTTTGTGGAGCATGGGAGCCTCCCAGGTGTGGTGCGGTGTCAGGGACCTGTGGAGGATGCCATCCCCCAGCTCATTCAGCAAGATGCATGGGATGAGAAGCCACGTGGTTAATGCAGAGAACTGGAATCTCCTTGCTGCTGTCAAACTTTAATTTCTGCATTTAAAACAAAGCAGAGCTATATCAAAAATAACCAAGCCATTTCCACTAGGATAGCAGGATTTTAGAGCAGGTCATTTTTAACTGAGAATGTTTGGTATTTTCGTAGTTAATTAAAGGATTTGTAGCTTGTAGTCAGTGATCCCATACTGACAGGTTTGTGCCAAGCCATTCCTGAATCTGTTTCTTGGCGCTTTTCATTGCAGTCAGGAACCAGGTTCTCTCACCCTTGCCTCCAAGATACTATTATTTCTCATAGTTCCTGTCGGTGCTTCTTTATAGCAAAGGAGGTGAGCGTTTTAAAGATAGTGTCCCTTCTTTGGCAGCTCAGCTTTGCTCGTTCCTGCATGGCTTAGTCTGGTGTTGGCAGGTTTGTACAGGCCCAACTTGATGAAGGCTGAGCAGAATGAACATCCCATCCACTCCCTGGCATTTTTGCCATATTGCATTCAGATCCCTGTCTTGATGGAATTCCTTCTTGGACAGCCACAAAAGGACGTCTGGTCGTTCTAGGCTGGCTCGTGGGGTTTGGGTTTGCTTGGGTGTTTGGGGGGCAGTGGATTTTAGCAGTGCCAGCATCATCTTTCCGTGGCTTCTGTTGTGTGCCTGAGACACCTTCTCCAATGGAGGCAGCTGAGTAAGGGGTGTGAAGCAGTAGGGGATGGAGGCTGGCTGAGCGCAGCAGCCTTTCCTTCCCGTGGAAGGCAGCGGTGACAGTGATGGCAAACACAGTTGGAGTTGCACCTGACAGGTTGGTCATGGCAGTCACCCTTGAGCTAGCTGTCTTGATTACTGAGTGGAGGATGCCATCTGCGTGGAGATGAAGGTCTCGATGACATTGTGAGTGGATGGCAGCAGCTGACTGTGGCTGTTGGCGGAGTCAGAGCTTTGGTACAGCACCAGGCTGCTGGAGGACACTGTCAAAGGCACAGGCAGAAGTTAAGCACAAATTCTCACTGCAGTCCCCTTATCATGTGTGCACACACTTGCATTTCCAGTATCACTAAAGCCTCCTGGCATAGGGGCATAACTCCTTTTTCTCTTTCGTGTGCTATTATCTACCTAGCTCAAGTACAAAGCTAGCCTGAAAGCATTGACGGCATCAGGGAGTTCAGATTTGAGGATTCTACTTGATTGTTAATGTCCTAGTTCTCCTCTTAGAACTGGGAAGGTGTAACTGGAGTGTCTTCATGAGGGGGTCTTGGGCTTTTCAGCCCTGAAAACTGCTGCCTGCAGGATTGGCTATGCATGGACACTGATTTCTGTCAATATTTTTAAGGTTATTTTCCTCTCTAGATTCTGAAGAAGGGTCCCATTTCCACAGTCTGGCCTTACACAGCTGGCACAGGCTGTGCTCTGAATCTTTTCCTCGTACCAGCTTTGCAAACCCCCCAAGACACTGGTAGAGCCCTCTTAGAGAATGGTGAGCCCCAGTTACCATTTTCTGTCTGGGTTTTACAGTGTTGGCAAGAGAAATGGCAATACGTGGTTTAAAATAATAGTGGCTGCTGCTCTTACCAGCAGGGCTTGAGGTGAGGCGAGGGCCTGGCTGAAGGTGCTGGATGGTTGTGTCTTGGTTCTGTAAATGTATCGTTGGCGCCTGTGACACTGGTGTGTGCATCCCAGACTCTGTGTGAGTCTCCGAGTCAGATGTGAATGCCTAGAGAAAAGAAAGTTAACAGCGCCTGGTTTCTACATCCCTTCTAGCAGGCACGAGAGGAGAGTGAGCAGGCGCTGTTTCCAAGGAGATTAAACCCTCCTTGATGATGCAGTGAAGAGCTTGCTCTAATGCCTCCAGTATTGCAGCTGGTACCAGCAAGGCGAGGAGATAAGAAAGGTCATCCTGCTGGGATGGCACAGACCACACACCCAAAAACTCTTTGACAAGCAAGGAGCTACCTGCAGACTGGTGCAGTTCTAAGGTGGGGGAACAAAGGCACGTGCTAAAGGCTGTTACCTGTTTAGCTGGTGTCAGGTTAGTCAGGGCGCTGAGATTGGCTGTATCTGTTATCACCATGGTTTGTGGTAAGAGGCCTGTATGTGTGTATTGGGCCACTTCAGACTTGGGGCCGTAGAGAGCTGTGCATGAAAGAAAACAAGGTCATGTGGATGCTGGAGCTTTGCATGAGACTAGTTTGGCTGAGTTGTTCTCCTCATGCATGTGTTCCTGCTGTCTGGTTCTGAAACAGTGGGAGTGGAGGGACAGGGAGACGAATGCAGGAGAAAAATAATTTCATAATTAAAGCAACAATAATAGAAGAGGAAAATAGAGTGCTGCAAGCCCAAGGACCCAGCAAATGCTCCAGAACAGAGCCTTTATTTTTTGGTTTGCTTGAGCAAATGAGTTCACGTTCTTACCGTGAGGGTTCTGTATCTGGGCCATGGTGGCCATGAAGGGGCTCTGGTTGATGTGGCTCTGGACCTGCTGCATGAGGGGCTGCTGGTAGGATGGGTGCAGTTGCTGGGAGAACTGGACGGGCTGCAGGGTAGTGAGGCTGCTCCCCATGCTGTTTATTACAGGTACGCTCTGGGGCTGGGTTGAGGCCAGGCCTGAAAAACAAGGACTGATGACAGCAGTGTCACGCACTATGGGAGGACTGTGGCTGCTCTGCAGCAGGGGTGCCTGGAATAGTCATCGTGGCAGGCCTGTCGTCACAGGGTGATTTCGGATCCTGCTTTTCAGGTGTTCCCTTTGTTATCTGTGATTATGAATAGATTTCATGCCTGTGAAAACTAAGTGGGAGTGTGCAAAATGCACAATGCAGACGGGTACCATAAAACCACCTCTGACTTCCAGTGTTTGCTCCTCTGTACATCCTTGTGTACCAGTA